GCATTCAGAGGCAGAGATTACAGGCTGACGAGCACTAGGGTCAGGGAGATTCTTAGGCTTTAAGAGCAGCCTGTCAGGCTACATGAGGTTTGCTATGGACAGACAGCGCCTCCCAGACGCCCTCATAGCGGTTTGATTCCTCCTACAGATCTAGTCCGCCACTGCTTCAAGGAGCCTTTTGGCGAGGGATCGAGCAGAACTCCTAGTGATCTCACTCCTACAGCTAGAGTGCTGGATGCCATTATGAGGAGGACCCTGATTCCGAGGATGGGGTATCGCGAGGGCTTGACTCGCTTATAGCTATGGCTTCTCAACTCCCTAATGCAGCAGATAGTGTTTGACATTTGGGATCTCCTTCTATCAGAGATGAAGGATACTATTGCTAAGGGATTCAGAGGTCACCGTCAGTTGCCCTATGCCCATTGGATCACATTTCTTATTCATAGGGCAGTTACAGTGAGGCCGCTTGAGATGCTAGCTGAGTACAGTGGTGCCACCACAGAGTTTCCTACATACAACCTAACTCAGATGATCCGGCATAGTACACCTACAACACCTAGTCAGCCGCGCCGTCGTCCTGAGGTGTCAGAGACTACAGCCTAGCAGGATGATATTATCAGGTGTATTGCAGCTACAGAGGAGGAGCACCTTGCTTAGCAGGAGGGGGTGGTCGAGAGCGACCCTAGTGACAGCTCAGATGAGGACTATAGGGACATTCCTCAGATGCCTACACATCGACATGATCATGAGGCCGGTAGCTCCAGTTCAGCTCCACCTGCACCATAGACAGACCCCGCTTTACTTGCCATACTTGAGCGAATGAGGCAGGATCAGGCTCGCCAGGCATAGGAGACCGTTGCTACATTTGTATAGTTCCAGACTCAGCAGGATGAGTTCCAGCACCAGCAGCAGGCGATCCAGCAGCAGCAGCTAGCTATACAGCAGCAGACGCAGGCTCTACAGCAGCAGCAGCAGGCCATGCATCAGCAGCAGATCCTCATGCAGCAGCAGCTACTTGGATTTATGCAGCATGTTGTGACAGCTATTGGGGCTCCACCACCACAGCCGTCGCCCCAGCTTGGTCAGACTACCACTACTTCTATGACTCCAGCGTTACAGCCTAGTGGGCTTCAGAGTCAGGGATAGCCACCAGCACAGTTTGCTTCACCTACAGAGTAGGTGTCCTAGTATTTTGCTTCGCCAGTGCTATCCTCGCAGTTCACACATTTTCAGACGGGCTTCACACCAGCTGAGACGTCCTCGCTGCTAGTGCCATAGACTATAGTGTCCAGGAGCCTCGGTGCATCCTTCAGTGAGTTGACAGGGAAGCTTACTCCTCCATATCTACATGTCCTAGGTCCTTCTACAGTTGCACCTATTACCGGGACTACAGAGACGCTCCCTTCCTCAGTGGCATCATCAGAGCTGGCTGCTTCAGTCATACCAGTACAGCCTACAACAGCTCCAGTCCCTGATATGACCCAGACTGCTACAGCATCGCTTCCAGCTACAGAGGGTCAGACTGCACAGAGCTCAGGGTCAGATGATGATGGCACTCAGTTCCAGCTCGCTCCTCATACCTCAGCGCCCGGCTCGTCCGCTGCAGCCCCGCCGACCGACCCTTAGGTTTTGGTGTTTGACGCCAAAGGGGGAGAGGGATCGAGTATATTAGCCATAGGGGGAGCGATATATCTAGGGGAGCTTAGTTATTATATTAGTTTATATATTACATTTGGAGTTTTTATGTGTGATACACTATTATGCATTCGTCATGTGTTTACTTCTTATGCATTAGAACTATATCTATGTGATAGTGATATCTATGTGATCGTGATATATGACATGTGTGCTCTCTACTTTGAATTATTTATATGTCATATCACTTGTGCTATACTCATTTGCTTTTGCTTCCGCGTTTTACTCCGATGCAAATGAGCTTTATTACTTGTACTCATGCTTATTTCATATCTTTTGAATACATCATGATGGCTTGGGTCATATAAGCTTGCCTAATACGTTTGTTCTTATTAACAAAAGCTTATATAATCCAAGCATGTTAAAAACCTCATCTCTTTCACATACTCGAGGTGGTATTGTCATCAATCACCAAAAAGTGGGAGATTGAAAGCATCTAGGCCCCTAGTTGGGTTTCGGTGATTAATGACAATACGTGATTACTGTGACTAACGTGTGTTTTGTAGAGGCAATTAAGTTAGGTCACGGTAATGGAGATCGATTGGGCAATCATGGTGGTCATGCCCCTACGATGGAAATCGTTTTGGTTTTCAAAGGATGGACGACAAGGTTAAGGATGGACTAGTTCTAAGTGTTGATTGGAGTTGAAGAGACACTTAGAGTAGTTTAGGACTTTGTTTTTCCTTTGGCCATACTATTAAGGGGGGTATGGACGGGTAGCTTGACCTAGGTGAGTCTAGTGAGTTAGGTATGGTGCACACTTGTTAAAACTAGCACTAGGTAGCTCCAAAATAGCCCTTAGATCCAATGGAGCAAACTTCATCACATATGATTGAGAGTTGGAAGTGAATGGAGGGTCAAATACTGACCGGACACTGGTTCCGGGTTGATCGGACGCTGGCGTAGAGTCTGGTCAGTTCAATTGACCAAGGTGAAATCGTCTGTCGCGACCGGACGCTGAGATGTGAAGTGACCAGACGCTGAGAGCCAGCGTCCGGTCGACTCCAGTAAGGTTCTAGAGAGGGAAAATCTCGACCGGACGCGTCCGGTCACACTTTAAACACTGGAGTTCGGGGTGTACTGACCGGAGCGTCCGGTCAACATGACCGGAGCGTCCGGTCACCCCGCAGAGGCACATAACGGTTCGTTTTTCAGCCGTTGTTATAAATACCACCTCCACTCATTTGTGGGGGTACTTTTACTCATTCCTACAGCTAAGAAACACCTTAGAGAGTGCCAAGAAGAGCAAGGTCCTAGTGAGGTGATTGAGATTTGAGAATACTAAAGAGAGCCCTCATTAGTGAGATCAAGAGTAGCAAAGTGTGCATCGACCCTTCTCATTAGGCTTGTCATGATCAAGTGAGAGTTCGTGCTTGTTACTCTTGGTGATCGCCATCACCTAGACGGCTTGGTGGTGATTGGGAGCTTGGTCATCATCCGGAGAGCTTGTGGATGACCCAACTCAAGTTGTGAGCGGTTGTGGGTGATTCACCACGACGGAGTGTCGAAGAATCAACCCGTAGAGAGCACTTGATCCTTACACGGATCAAGGGGGAGCTACACCCTTGCGCGGGTGCTCCAACGAGGACTAGTGGGGAGTGGCGACTCTCCGATACCTCGGCAAAACATCGCTGCGTTCATCCTTCTTTATTTACTTTGAGCAATTTAATTCTTGTATTTATATTTCTAGAATTACCATGCTAGAGTAGGATTAGAACATAGTTTGCAAGTCTTTTGTGCGGTAGAATAACTAGAAAGACTTTCTAGGCACAAGGGGTTAATTGGGCTAACTGTAGGATTTAATTATTGCAAAGAAATTTAGAATTAGCCCAATTCACCCCTCCCTCTTGGGCATCTTGATCCTTTCACCCACATCTCGTAAATTTCATTTGACCAACTAGGAGAGTGTCAGTATGATGAAAGAGTATGGAGGCCTAAGTGTTCCTAACTTGAGAGATTTAAATTTGTGTCTCTTAGCTTCTTGGGTTAAAAGGTATAATCTAGATGGTGATAAGATGTGGAGACAGTTTTTAGACTTCAAGTACAATGCTAATAGACCTAACATCTTTTATAGCTCCACCTCTGGAGCCCCTGGGTTCTTTAAAGGTTTGATGAGAGCTGCTTCTGTAGCAAAAATGAGATATAGATGGCATATAGGAAATGGTAAGAAGTGCAAGTTTTGGAAAGATAATTGGTTAGGTACTTCTAGTCTAGCTATTTAATATTGAGAGATCTACGTATTAATTAATGAGAAGGATGCTACGGTTGCATCCCTGTGGGATGGTATTGATTTGTAATGCACTTTGAGAAGATGTGTCGATGGTAGATTATACAATCTTTGGTTAGAAGTGGTCCAGTTAGCTTCTACTATTAGCTTTACTGATGAGGAAGATTCACTAATATGGCAGTTTAAATCTCATGGTGTATACTCTTCACAGTCCTTATATAAAGTCATTAATTTTAGGGGTGTTTCTCCTGTGTTTGTTCCTGCTATTTGGGCACTGAAGGTCCCACCTAGAGTCTATTTCTTCCTGTGGTTGTTATCTAAAAACAAGGTTCTGACTAGGGATAATTTGAGTATCAGAAAGAAAATCCAAAATCCTACTTGTTTGTTTTGCTCAGAGGCTGAAACTGTCAATCACTAATTTTTTAACTGTGTAGTAGCTAAACAGCTTTGGTCAATTCTTTCTGAGATCTTAAATAGACAAGTTGGCGCAGATTTTGTTTCTGTTGGGACTATGTGGATTACTAATAGGAAATTTATAGTGGAAAATATTTTTTGTGCTGCTGTCCTGTGGGGGCTTTGGAAACTAAGAAACAGTTTGTGTTTTCAAGGATCACTCTGGATAGATGTCCGAGTGCTGATAGTGAAGGTAACAGCAATGCTGCAAAATTGGAGTTCTCTGTGTCCGAAGGAGAAAATCCCAGAATTTCTGGATCACCTGGACAAACTGAAAAGCTTTGCCACAAGACCTCACCAGCTACCTGGCTTGGTCAGGTGAATGTTGAATGGGATCGTATCTTATTTCAACCTGGGAATTTCTGTTGGAGTTTTTGAACTTTGAATGTTGGAAGGAGCTTAATGGTTTGGTCTTTGCAATATAAATGCCAGGGCCACCCTTGAACTCTAAAAAAAGCCCGCGGCCTCGACGGCACGGCGGATCGCCGCCTTGGTCGTGATGAACATGGACCTGGTCGGCTCCACGGCGTCCGAGCGGTCTGCGTCAAGTCCGAACTCCGACGGGATGAACCTCTATAGCCGTGCATGATGCAGCCGTTGGTCAGAGAAAGAGACAAACTATGATCTAGCTAGCTAGTGGCTGAGTTTTCTTTATCACCAACGAAAACATTGAAATTGCGAAATTCTGGCTGAAATTTTGGGGAAAAACTACAGTGTCGACGTTGCTGGCCTCCTTGATGGCGTCGATGAGCCTTGTCTGGTCAGCGATCTGCGGCGCCCCGACCGTGGAGATGACCACGTCCGCAGCCTTGATGGCGCTGAGCAGGCTAGCCTGGTCGTGCAGGTCGCCCTTGACGAGCGTGACGCCGGCGTCCTGGAAGCTCTTGAGCAGCGCCGCCTTGGCCGGGTCGGAGGGGGCGGTGTCCCTGACGAGCGCCAAGGTGGGGTGGCCCAACCTCGCGCTCGCCGCCACGACGTGCCTGCCCAGGTACCCCGTGCCGCCGACCACCAGGATCCTGCTCTTACCTGCGGCGGACGCCATATATGGATCTACCGATTGCTTGGACTGATAACCCAGCCGTTACAATGCTTGCTCGATGTGAGAGTTGCATGCCGTGTAACTGACCCGTATATATACGCATCACTTAGTCAAATCGTCGTTACTCGCGAGATCAAACGGCCAAGTGGCGTCACTCGTGAGATCAAATGGCAAGAAAGCAAGCCAATGCAACGGCCGAGCGCCTGCAATTTTATTTTATTTGTTTGATTGATTTTCATGGACGGAGTACCTTAGTTCCGTTACATGTGCATGAAGAGAGAAATAAACTAACTTTGCCCCAGTCCCATCCAATATGTTCCAATATAAGGTTGCACATTCCTTGCCTTCAACTTTTGAACATCGATTGCGTCAAAAAAAAAAAAAAATTGAACGTCGAAATGCGTCTCCCAGGAGTTTTCTTCACCCTTTTTGTGACCTAAAGACTTTATTAAAAAGTTGAAGGCAAGGTTCTAGCTGAAGGGAGACAATACCATACTTTATTCACGCTTTCAATAACAAGACGCTGACTTGTCATTTCCAAACACAGTTTATTAGCCGGTGAGACAGTGACCTGTCACATGCACCCAAGGTCAAATTAAATAAGGCGGTTGAGGTACTCATCGACGGTTGTGTAGGCGACGTCAGGGTAAAGCTGGGTGGCCTCCACGCCAACCGCCGGGTCGATGTCGAAGTTGGCCTGCTCGCCCCTGACGAAGGTGGAGAGCCCCAGGCTCAGCAGTATGTTGAGAGGGAACGCCGCTTCTGCATTCAGACATCCAGGCTCCAGAACGATATGCGTATGAGATGCGCGTACGAAACACACCAACGATGGTAGCCAGTACCTTTGATCCACTTCAGAATGTCCTCCTCTGGGACGTGCTCCTTCTGCAAGGTCCTGCCAGTCTTCTTCTCCCACATCGAGATGAGCTCGTTGTGGGACACCACGTTCGCGGGAGGCCTCACGTACAGGATCTTGTTCAGGGTCCTTGGATCCTCAACCGCCCTCACCGTGTAGGCAGCAATGTAATTTTCCACCACGAACACAGTTGCATCAGCATTTGAGCGTCAAGGATCCAGGCAGTATTATGAAATAGGTTGGAAGTTGGATGTGCACATGGACTGATGGCCCTTAGCTACCTTTGGCACTGCCGTCTCCTAGGACAGTGATCTTGGTGGCCGGAGGACCAGCACCAATGGCCGTGACATCACCAATGCTTGGAAGGTAGGTCTCTGCAAAGCAATTGCAGCTGATGTAGGTGTGAGGTATCCCCTCCGCCTCAATCAGCCGCCGGAGGTTGGCTTTCACAGAGTACAGTGATGGCGCTGGATCCACAGTGTGTAGGCGGTCCACATCGGAGCCAAACTCAGATGGCACAAACCTCTGTAAAACAGATTCTTCAGTGATTTGCAGACATCAAAAGAATACAGATTTGGAGGCGAAAAATCTTGTAGAAGTCTGAAATTGACCTTGACATTGCCTGCCTCCTTGATCGCAGCAATGATCCTTGTTTGCTCGCCGACTTGGTGGGGGCCCACTGCTGAGATGACTATATCGGCAGACTAAACGGCAGACTAAACGGCCTTTACCAGGCTTCCATGGTCTAATACATCTCCCTAGCATACACATAGAGGATAGGTGAAAAACCTCAAGCGAGCTTGTACTTTCAGAGTGACTTGAGCCACTCTGAACAGGCCCAACAATGCATAAAATGCATCTGCTCTATTGAAGTAGTTCTGGCAATATACTTGAACGATCACATTGCGAAGCACATCACATCCCAGCTCATAAGTTATTCTACTAGTAGTTAACTACAAATAAGAACTACTAAGCATATCAACAGAGGGTGCGGGGGGAGGAGTGTGGCAGAGACCAGTCAAAGGCTCTCACATGAGTGGGGTCTGGGGAAGGGAAAAACTGAGGCAAGCCTTCCCCCCCGCAAATCTGCGGAGAGGCTTCTTCGAACCCACGGCCTGGTGACTCTGTGAGACAGCCAGGCCTGCCCTTCTAAGCATATCGACAGAGCTCAATAAAATTTAGTATTTTTTTAGATGTCAAAATCACTATCATAGTATTATTTTGCAAACAAGGAAAGAAAAAATGGTGCAAAGTAGCACAGAGGATAGAGATGATTACTGGTACCTTGATGAGAGCAGCACCGAATCGGCAAAGCTTTTGATGAGCTGCGCCTTAGCTGGGTCAGATGGTGCAGAATCCCTGGTGAGGACAACAGTTGGGTGGCCAAGCCGGACGCTTGCAGTAACAATATGCTTGCCAATATGGCCTGTGCCACCAATGATGAGGATCCTGCTCTTCTCCATCTCCTGGTTCTCCTATGGAGACGTGTTCCAGCTCCAAATGCGAACAGTTGGCCACAGTTGCAAGCTGCATGCAGGGACTCCTTGGTTGTGGTCTCAGGTTAAGAGAGGAAATAGAGTTTTGTAGCTCTTACTCCAAAAGAAACCTTCTTAAAGAAATGATTAACAAGTTTCAACCACCCCCACCTAACATTTAGTTCTTCCCATCTTCATTCCAAATACCACACAACAGAATAAGACATTAACATAGAAGGAATTCATTGAAAAAGTCACTGACTCTTCTTCACTGTTTTTTGTCTGCAAAGATACTTTTGTACCCTGAGCAACCTCAGGGATCACTATAAGTCAAAATAAAAGTAACAGTATAAACTATACCATCAGGTAAATAAAGAAAAACTGTGCAAATAGAAAACTCCTAAGTGTCTTTGCAAGGGATCAGTTATGTCAAACTCTGTCAGTCTGTCTGCTGCAATTTCCTATCAGAACAATTACAGCGAGTCAAAACTGCCTATGAATTTTGCTCAATCAAGCAAATTATATATATGTCTGTCTGTTTGTTTGGGGCACAGGCACTACTGCACTAGGCAGAGCATCACCACCTTGCTTAGTGCTAGGCATTCCATCTAGGCACTATTCCCAATTTCGTCCATTGATCTCTCTCTCTTTTTTACATATTTTTCTCTATTTTTTGTACATTAATAAGCTACTAAATGTACAAAGGCCTAGGCACCAATGTTATCAAGTCGTCCGACTAATCACGATAAGTCGGGCTGATCTGTGCCGTGGCGATCAGCTAAGCACTACAATTAGTCACGGTTAATCGTGATTAGTCATTATTTTAGTCAGGCTGATTGGTGCCATGGCGACTAGGATCAGTAAGACGATTTGATAACATTGCTAGGCACTAGGTGGCACCTGGCCACCCGCTTAGTTCCTAGCGCTTCATGAATGCTCCTGCATAGCCATACCATTCTAGTTTGACCTAGATGAGACCAAATGGCGTAATGCAAACTTGCAGATGTTATCAATTTCAAATTGACAGATGAAGGTTTCAGCAATCAGAAGCCAAAAGTACAATTCCACTAAACATTAAAATGTCCGTGAGTTACCATGGTTAAGAATGCAAGCAAGAGTCTTGGTATACGTTATATCAGTTACAACAAACAAACACCATTACAAGATAAGAAAATTCAAAGTTGAATGACAGGTGAAATTATTGTAGTATTAGTCTAAATAGCATACGTTCATACTGAAATATCATTTGAGATTGTCAACACATGATTGGTGCAAAGGTAAAAAACACACAAGAAAACTCACATATTCTATATTCTGTGAATCATCGTCATGGAGACATGGATAGCACATATCTGCCAATCCTTGAGGGGGAACAAAACAGATGTAACCATATTAATCAATATGCCAAGGCAGCAATCAATCAAAGCTGGCTTTAGGCTTCAACTAGAAATTTCAGGAATTTTAAAGATAACATAAGTTGCCTAATGGACAAGAGCGCAAATTTACAGCAAGTTAATGCTGCAAAACAATAACCCCTATTATGAGCCTTTCAGTTCAAATCGCTAGTTTAATTGGACAAAGCATAATTGTCCAACTTCCAAATATGAGATCAACAATCAATTAAAACACGCAGAACTGTTTCAAAGTTAAACAGTCAATGAAAACATAATGAACTGTTTCAGTGTGCACATTATCAATAAAATGTTAAATTTCGTATGTATAATTTGTTATGTCCTGTTTTCTCTTAGGTGTAATTGGCAGTTCTAATAACAGGGTATAGCATGAAATTCAGAGCATTTCAAGTAACAATTCAAATGGTAATATCATTGCTTGAGCCTCATGGCCATGGCATATAAATTGGAAGTTATACAGAACAAAACTGTGGAGTCTAGCATAGTAGCCAAAAGAGCCCAACCTCAATCAAACTGAAGCCCAAAATACAACAGCAGGAACAACCTCACCCGCCACAAATTCCCATACATCTCCAATGAGTAAGGATTCTCCTAACTAATCTCCAGAATGCTTCTTTTGCTTCTTCTTTGTATGTTCTACCTGCTCTGGAGCATTATCATAAACGTCACCTCTACCCCTCTTCTTTTTCCTCTTCTTCTCTATGTCTAGATCACCATCAGCAATCCTCTTCTCCTCCTTCACAACCTCAGTGCGGCCTTCCTCTTGTTCATGCTTCTTTTTCTTCCTTTCCCTCTCTGTTCTGGCAACTCTCTGTTCTGCTGCACTGTCATTGACGATTTTCTCTTCCACGTCATTCACATCCTCTTCCAGTTTCACATGATCCTTCTCTTTTTTCTTCTTGCTCTTCTTCTTTTCACTCACCAGCTCTTCTTCCACCACGAAACTACGCTCCTGCTTCACATCCACGATGATTCCCTTATTCGGATGCTTCTTCTTCTTCCTCTTCTCAGTGGCAATTTCTGGTGACGGGGGGATGTGCGAGTCAGCACGGGCAACCGCTCTATCCTCCGGGGGATTCTCATTCTTCTTCTTCTTGCCCTTCTTCTTACTGGAGGCAAGATCTAGCTCCGCCCCGCGGCAGAATCGCGGTGGGAACCATAAGCGGCAACCGCCATGTCCCCTTCGCTCTCCTGGTCTTGGTGCCTTCTATCGCCCTCCACCGGATCCTCATAGTCGTGGGCATCGAAGTTAGCGGCACCCTGCTGGTGCCTGCCGCCGAGTTCTTCGCGGAAGTAGATGAGCTGTACTGTGGCGTCGGTCACGGTGCGGAGGTAGGTATCGCAGTCGGAGGAGGGTAGGTGGGAGGCGGCAGACTTGGAGAACCAGAGGAGGGTGCGGGCAGCCTTATCGAGGGAACAGGGCTCGGAGGAGACGACGCCGCCGGTGATAGCCCTCATCGCCCCCGCCGCCGGCAAGACGAGTGTGGGAGTTGGGGTTAGGGTTTTAGGACGAGGAGAATTCGGCAGGCCGCCTCCTTTCCTCAGCTCGGCTTATACTAGGCCATGCACCCCGAGGCCCGGTAGCCCGGCCCACGGCCCGCTAATTTGGCCCGACACGAGTCCGGCCCGGCACGAGGGTCTCTGGGCCTGGGCTGGCCCACACGCAGCTTACTGAGTCCGTGCACAGGCGTCGTCACAAGAAGCCCGCGGGTCGGCACGGCCCGGCAAGACGGTAATAAGGTGGCCCGAGGTCGGCCCGACAAGCAGCCTCACGCCCTGCTAAGCTGCTAAGCGCCCAATGACCCGGCCAACGGCGCTTTGGCCTCCCCCTGCCATATAAGCGCGAGGCATCCGGCGCCCCTCATAAACCCTAAACCTAAATCACTCGATTGACTCCTCTCCACTCTCCATCCATCCTTGCATTACCGCCATTTCGCCATCTCGCCTCAACCATCGCCTCGTCTCGCCGTATCCACTATGCCGTCGTCGACCCCGACTTCGGTGACCTCGAACCCATGCCACGGGCGTGTTCCCCACCCTCTCTACCTCTCCCTTCTCCTCTACCTTTCTCCCTCTAGATCTCGGTGATTATGTGAGTTTATTGACCCGTTTGTCCCTCCTCCTCCGCCGCCGCCGTCCCTCGTGACGACTTTGTGTCATCTTCTTCTCGCCAGCGGGCCGTCGTCGTCTTCTTCTCTCGCACCGGGCTCGGGTTGCGAAGGTAAGCACCTAACCCTAACCCTAACCGCTAACCCTAATCCCCATCTTTCTTTTTTTTTGATGAGATCTCTAATCGATCTATTCCTTCCTCCTTCGCAGGCTTCCAGAGTCGATGCTTCAAGCTCTAGTCTGCGGCATAGAGCGAGGAGCAGCATACCACCCGCACCGTTGAGGTACGGTGCTAGAGAGGCGCCATGGTCAAAGACGATGGCGAAGCTTCCGCTGGCATGGCCCCCGAGGGCGAGAACGACGACGGCATCCGTGATGACGCCGCTGTGTGTTGTTCGTCGATCTCGAGAGACGCAGACGGTGGTGGTGAAGGCGACATGCACACGACTCATTTCTATCTTTAAATCTCTGTCTTTTGTTGCGCTTGGGTCTTGGCTGTTAAGTTGTTAAATAGTTAAGTTGTTTTTGTGATTCCGTGAATGACTTGTCAAAATTATGAATGTGATGTCGATTAAGAATCGATGAGCGGTTTTCTACAATTGGGTTGTGGGTCGGCACGGCCCAAGAGTTTTGGTCGGGTCAGGCGGACGGCACGGCTTCGATTTTAGCCCGAGGGGCCATGCTTGGGGCCAACGGGCACGAGGCCCGGTAAAGGCACCTGCACGGGGGGGGCACGGCGTGCCGTCTTGGACCGACACCGATGGTCGTGCTCGCCCGTCTCGCCCGCCCCTGATGGCCATATATAGCTCGGCTAGGAGACTCGACTAGACTTTGGCACGCCCGAATCGCCAATTAGGGTGTGTTTGGTTGAGTCAGGCCCGTGGAAAAAAAAAAAATTGTAAGGTGTGTGAGTCGTGAGAAAAGTCATTGTAATGGAGTCAGAAAAAGTTGAAAGCTATTTGGTTAAACAAGTATAAAATATACCTTCTATCTTTATCTCTTTTGAAACAACTATGGAAGAGCTTTTTATTCCATAAATTTCGAAAAGCAGAAAGCCAAAAGCCAAAAGCAGGGTCAAACCAGCTTTCAAAAATATACTACGAAAAAGCAGTTGCTTCTAAAAAAACAGCCTCCAAAGATAATCCCTTTGGTTGGGCTTTTGGCTTTTGTGCCAAAAGCCAAAGCCAAAAGCTCAACCAAACGGACCCTTAGTCAGCCGCAGAGAGCCCAACACTTACATTGAGCCTGTATTTAGATATGAAAAAAGTCTACGTTGCCTCCTCAACTTTTGTTGTGAAAATATGTTTTTTCTCCCTGAACTCTAAAACCGGGTAAACCACCTTCCTAAACTTTTAAAAATCATAAATACTTTTTAACAAGAATACACCTAAATAAATCTATAACTAAATTATACATGATCCAATGAGTATGAAATTTTTTCTACAGTTCAAGCATACAATAATTAGCACATCATAAAATTTTCACCATAATTGGACTATACAACTACAACTATGAATTAATTGTAGAAAAACATAGATCCAAAGTGTCGGGTTCATAAGCCCGGGGTCCCTCATGGACCTGCTTCCCAGCAAAAGCTCGGCCCAGCAGATGGCGTTGCGAACGATGCACAACTCCTGGGCCGGCCCAAAAATCTGACGACAGGCCAGAAGGCGATCCAATCTCCGACCGGAAAGCCTGGCTGAAGAGAAACAATGCTCGTTTCTGACTCCGATCCGCGTCTCCGACCGGAGATGCACCGGGCCTTTGCTTACAGCTCTTCTCTGACTAGCACAGTCGGAGCCGACTGGGACTAACCGACCAGGGACGCCCGCTCGGTGAGGACCCAGGAAATGGGCAGAATAAGAAAGGCAGGGCGCTCAAGTCAAACCGTAATACCAAGGACCGTACCCTGTAAACCTGCAGGACAGTACCGACAGGGCATGTCAGAAGGGTGCCCTACAACCTTTCAGGCATGTCAGAACCCAAGCAGTGTTGTGGGCGCCGACGTTTGCCATACAGTGTTGTGGACGCCATCAATTCCCATACTAGGCGAACACGGTAAAACCCTCTACATGCCTCTGGGCATCAACAGTGTTGTGGGCACCATTATTTGCCATACATGGTGAACACGGTAAAACCTCCCACATGCGTCTGACATAAACAGTGTTATGGGCGCCTACAATCGTCTTGTACCCGACGACGTGGGCAACAAGACTTAGTAGTATACATATTCTCTCTCTCACTTGTAAGACCATCCCCTTCATCTATAAAAGAGGATGCGCTCTCTCCCAATACAGGGACTCTCAGACAATTCGACCACCAGGACGATCAATTCACAGAGTCGAACAACCAAAGATCGATTCACCCTCTGCTAGCTTTAGACACTCTAAAGCTACACAAAGCACACTCTCGAATACTTAGCGCACGTAGGAGCTCCCTCACTCTCTTGCACCCCCATCTTACTCCCTTCCGTTTGTAACCCCACAGCAAACTTCGAGCACCTGAGCTCAGGAATAAAGTCACCCACCGACTCAAACTAGACGTAGGGCACGTTGCCTGAACTAGTATAAACCATATGTCATTGAGTGCTAGGCCACTTCCGATCACAACGTACGACAAAACTACAAATATTTATGTGTTGGTCACTTTCTGCATCGATAGTTGGCGCCGTCCATGGGAAGACGCCATACGTTCACGACTTTGGTCATCGGATGGCCCACCTTTCCACCATCTTTGGCATGGCGGGCTCAAGTGATACGACTTGCTTTGGCTCGCTGGAGTTTCCCATGCTCCCACTTGTTAGGATGTGGGTTCCTCCCGTCTTCGAGCCTTCCTAGACCTTCCTCTTCAGAAGCCTGGACTTCGTCGTCGACCGGCTCGGCGTGCTTCGCCTTCGTGAGAAGGCGCTTGTTCCGGCGCCCGTCGGATGGGTGCCCTCCACCGGCTTCGGGCCACCCGACGACCTCAACGATGAGGCGCCTACGCTTCGCTCCAAGCCTACGCCAGGCTCAAACCCCACTGTGAGTCATGTACATGTTGTTATTTACTCGCTATTTATTATTTTCCACCAATTCTTCGGAGGGACCCCGTTGTCCCTATCGTGACCGTCGTGCGACCGGTTCCCTATGGCCTCGCATCCCCCTTGGACGCATATGCATGGGGGCTCTGAAAGATGCTGGCGCCGCCCCCTCTCACATCCAAATTTGTGGGGATGGCGAACGATGCTCCCGCCTCTTTTCATGACCTCATGGATGACGATGTTGAGAGTGATGGCTCCAGCATCGACGACGCCGTGACACCTAGCCACCCTCTGTCCCACGAGTGCGCTATGGCAGACACTCCGGGACAGCCACCGATGGTGATGGAGTCTCTTCAGACCCACACCCCTCTAGACCCTCGCATGGATGCCCTCGTGTGTGCCTAGGAGCACGGTGAGGAGCTACGACAAAGGCGGCAGAACCTGCCGACGCGCTTGGCACACCATGATACGCCCCATGCACGTAACTCGGTGAGCGATGCCCGGGGTCGCGCTCGCCAGGTTCAGCGCAACATCATCGACGGGGACACACCATACGCATCGCTCCATCCACTCACCGCTACAGCCGCTGGGCGCGGAACAGGAGGCCGCAGCTACGCCACAATCTGACCCACCGCCTGCTCCACACAGGCCGCCTGTGTGCAAACACCTCGGGACGAACTGAGACGCTCGTAGCGTCATCAACAACCGGCGTCAGGCTCGGTATGATGATAACGTCCATCGGGCGGTGGTGAGAGCAGGCAGCATGGGCTCCGGTCGGACCATCGAGGGGACCAGTGAGATGGACCCTAGGCACGGTCACTGACCCAACGATCGGAGTCCCAGCCTGGATGGCCCGGGACCACGGGCCTTTGGCCGACGCATCCAGAGGGCGCCATTCCCATAGCGCTTCCGACCTCCTACCAACATCACCAAGTATACTGGGAGGTGAATCCCGGTATATGGCTCGAAGACTTCTGGCTCGCCTACCGAGCCAGAGGAGTGGATGATGACCACTTCATCATTCAGTACCTCACTATCTATGTAGGGGAACATGTACGAGCATGGCTCGAATTCCTCCCATAGAATAGCATTCGCGACTGGGCAGACCTCAAGAGGGTCTTCGTCGAGAACTTCTAGGGGATGTATGTCCGCCCTAGGAACTCCTAGGACCTCAAGAGCTGCCAGTAGGAGCCCGATGAGTCCCTGCGGGATTACATCTATAGGTTCTCAAAGTGATGCAACTCCCTTCCTGATGTCATCGATGCAGACGTTATCAGCGCATTCCTCTCTAGGACAACCTGCGAGTCCCTAATCCACAAGTTTGGCTGCC